GTCGCGGAGAACCTAACGGGTAACCGGGGCTCCGGCTCGACGTGCAGGAGAAGGAACGGGGTGGTTTTTAGTCAGTAAGAGTCTGACACTCCCTTCCGCCTCACCCAGGCGGGAGCAGTCATTCGATGATTTTCCCCCCTTAAAAAAAAAAAAATACATAGAGATGTAATATTTGAAAACTTATACTTACTTACATAACAATGAATATTTTATTTATAAATATTACATATAAATATGAAATTAATGAAGATTATCAAAGATTAATTTGTTGCTATCTTAAACTTTAGAAATTAGAAAAAGTATCTTGGTATATTATGATATCAATCATCCAATCGGATGTTGAACAATAGCTGATGACAATCCACATTCATTCACAATGTTATGTGCATGTTTCGTTGCCCACGTTTGAGTATTGACAGTTTCGTTCAGTAGGATTTAGGACTGTTGACGTAATCATAAAAATAAACACCCTAAATATTAAAGTCCCGCTTTAAATTAAATAAATAACCTCTTAAAATCTTAGAAGAAATCAAGAACCTCTTTCAGTTTACGGTCGGTTCCATTTCATCAGTAGGGGGCGCCACGGTCGAGTAGTCTCCAGATGAGCTTTCACCACAACCAGTGAATCGTGACGTAATAAGTAATGAAGAATGTCATTACAAAAGGGAATCGTGCGCAACTCAGGACTCGAAGAAAGGTCTTTGAACTCAATAAGAAAATAATTCAAGAGTTGACAGTTTGTGGAGATTTTTTGAAGTGTGGGAGATCCATGCTTCGACACGAGTGGGCCGGCTCGACCGGAGTGGTACCATGGACTCACGCTAAAGCCTGCGCTGTGTTTCGTCGTGTGAATGAGGTTACCGGAGGCCCGATTACCCCCGCCTTTCCCAAACCCTGAATTCTCAACAATCCTCAAATTCGTAATCTCCAAAAGGCCGGTAAAGCATTTGTAACACCACTGGTGTTCCGGGTGTCCATGAGCGATGTAGATTGCTGACCATCAGGTGATCTGTACGCTCATTTACCGGCTTATCTATACATATAATAAAATTGTAGAAAAGTGCTGTCTGTACATTGAAAATAAAAATAAAAAAAATAGCAGGGGCTATTGTTATGTCGATGTCGAACCCAAAAATGTAACTAACTTTTTTTTTGTCTGTTTGTCTGTTTGTCTGTTCACGCTAATCTCAGAAACGGCTTATCCGAGTTGGATGCGGTTTTCACGAATATATTGTGGTATGCTTCAGTTATGCTTTAGTGTTTGTTTCATGTCAATCGGTTCATAAATAAAAAAGTTACGTCAAATTAAAGAATCACGTCGAACACTATCTATCTATCTATCTATACATATAATAAAATTGTAGAAAAGTGCTGTCTGTACATTGAAAATAAAAATAAAAAAAATAGCAGGGGCTATTATCTAAAATAAAAATAAGTATATATTTAAAAAAAAACGCTGCTCATAGTCACTATTCTACGCGAACGAAGTCGCGGGCACAGCTAGTTCTCATAATAAATTTGTAAATTTTTTGGCTTAAGACGGAAAGTGAGTTGGGTAACCTGATTGTAAGCAATCGGGCCAATCGGCTCTGTTCTAGATACTCAGAAATTTAAAGGAGTTACTAGTTGCGGAATATTTTAATTTTCATCTGCTTAAAATAAGAATGGGGGAATTGGGAATTGACGAATTTGAATGTGGTCGCAGTGGGGGCTATAGCTAGGTTACCTAATTTAAGTGGTTTTAATTTGAGAATATTACACTTAGTCATTCTCCCTAAAACTTTGGCGCCTATCGAATTCTCCCCTCACACAAAACGGCATAGATTCCGACTTACGACATGATACATTAATCAATGATGACCCTCACTAGACTTTACACCCTACTATGAAAGTGTCAAGGTAGATTATTCACTATAGGTAACGGTATCATTTCACATGGCTACAGAGCTATCTAGACAGAGTTCACACACTGTGTGTATCATGTTAAGTTTCCAAGAACTTTCTCGGCGTGTGATTGTGGGCTGTAGTTATTGTGTATGTATCTTGTGTATGTCCTGTCCGTCTGTTTGTTTGTTTGTCTTACTATCATTTTCTTCATCGTCAGCCTGTAAGTGATCCACTGCAGTTCAGTTACTATGTAGGTTTTAATAAACTGTGATACTTCATTCCTGGACTATGGACCTTAGTGGCGTCACTATAAGGTGGCAAGTCGCGAAAATGCCCGTTTAGAGGTTCTCATCCAGATTCTTTCTATTTTTATATTTGGTATCCGCATCTATGAATTTGCCACGGGCCTCCATCGGTATAGTTTTACGCCACTGACCGGAAACAATAATTTGTGGATCACACAAAGAGTTCCTCCGTACGGGAATCGACCCGTGACACGCTGCGTGGCAGCCGGTTGCCCAGCCACCGCACCAACTGTTCCCTCAAACTCTATTACTACACTCATTGACAAAACAAAAACAATTAGTTAAAAAAAAAACTAGAAGATAAAAACGAAAAGTCAGTCACCAATCTTATTTGAATACAATTTACTGAATAAACCAATATACATATTATAAACCGCCTTATCTCCAATGACGTCATAACTCTGATACTTCTGTTCCAGTGCTGCAGTATGCGCGAGAGTCTCCGTCGACTGGCGTCAGATGACGGCATGGAGCGCCGCGGGCGCATCGCCGGCAGCCGCCGCGTGCGCGTCGAGCTCATGTTGGCAGAGCATATCACTGTTGATGTTGATGTAAGTGTACTTATTTATATAATATGTGAAATTATGTGACAGTGTGTAGCTATTTTGTATTGATGAGTTCTTCAGACCTTTTGGGCGTAATATTCAGTTTAGTCCTACATTGAAGAAGTTATCGAGCTTAATTTGTTCAACATATTATTTACAGTTTTTCCAAATGTGGTCGCAATGTAGGGCTAAACTAAATATTACGCCGTCTTAGAATCTGTGTGAAAGCCTGGTACATTGTGATTAACCCTTGCTTGCGATTCTTTTGTAAACGATCACTAATTCTCAGTCTCTAAACAAACCATTTCTAACATTCATCGGTAACATAATATCGTTTCTCTTTGTTAATACTATACACAGTTCAATAAATCTTCCAAATCCAAAAAGGTTTTTTCTCAAATAATCTCAATTCTCAAAGCCAACCGCGTCTTGAATCCTCATCATTCAATTAAGGTCGAGCACACCAATTACCCATCACACACAGGTGACCTTGTGCATAGCTGTTTCACCCAACTCTGTTCGTGTTACATTGAATCAAAGATTTGAGATTTGAAAAAGGAAGAGGGGAAAATGTCTCTTCATTTGTTTATTTAGATGCCACTAGAGGCGCTGGTATTTTTTTTTAAGGAAAATCATCGAATGACTGCTCCCGCCTGGGTGAGGTGGGAGGGAGTGTCAGACTCTTACTGACTAAAAACCACCCCGTTCCTTCTCCTGCACTTCGAGCCGGAGCCCCGGTTACCCGTTAGGTTCTCCGCGACAGAGGCGCTGGTATAGTTTTAAGGCTTTTGATTTATAGAGTGTTTGCTAATTTTATGTCATTAGTTAGTAAATTTGTGATAACTAAGTTGATTAGAGTAATAGGACTTTAAACTTCACTAGCGCCATCTCGGAAGTGCAAAATCATAACATACATTGCTTTTTACATAATTCATAATTCTTTGTACATTCATTGCTTTTTGTTCTTCATTTTGATTACGTACTAATTTCAAAACTTTTATGAAGAAAGAAAATATGAATACTCTTTTAAAATTCAGCTGCCTTGTAATATTTATTAAGCAATAGGTATGTGTATTCGTATTGATGCTGTTTATTATAAACAAAGATTATAACTTAATACACATACGAGATTAGTTAGTTTGTTCATTCATTCATTACATTGAATTGAATGTACATAACTGCAATGAAGTAACAGTGATGCAAATAAATGGTAATTTAATACAATTGACACAACGACCGGTCAGTGGTGATTGTTTAGTAGAAACATTCATTGGCCTACTGTAGAAACATAATATTTTAGAATTTGATTAGGCAGACATTTGTTACTATGTATGGTCCTAACCATACTGTATGAAAACATTTAAGAATGTATATACTTAATTTCAGCGCCGTTTTTATGGATTTTTTTTAATGGCATAAGCCGGTAAACGAGCAGACGGATCACCTGATGGTAAGTAATCGGCGTCGCTCATGGACACCTATAACACCAGAGGTGTTACAAGTGCTTTACCGGCGTTTTGGGGCTTAGGAGTTTGAGGATCGTTGGGAATTCAGGAATTGGGGAAGTTGGGGAAGGGAAGGGTAATTGGGCCTCCGGTAACCTCACTAACACGACGAAACACAACGCCAGCGTTGCTTCACGTCAGTTTTCTGTGAGGCTGTGGTATCACTCCGGTCGAGCCAGTCCATTCGTGCTGAAGCATGGCTCTCCCACTCTTTAAATGTGATATGTGTGCAATGGATAAACACCGTCCTTGCACAGTTTATTGTGTCAATCTATGACGACGCGAATTTATTTTAATCAGTGTTATCCACGAAAAGGTTATATTACTGACACTGGTAGTTACAAATATTAACAACAATGGTATCTTTGCACGTGATAAACTTAGTGAGAGGTTAATACATAATGCAGCCAATGCAGGTAACCACTAGACAGGGTACTTGACTTAACCAACATGCGTTAACTACAGTTAGGCCCTTTAGGAATGTGTGAAGGACGAGCGTAGCATTTGAACGTCAGTGATGTAGCAGGTACTAGCAGTTACGATTAGGCACTAGGCAGTTTGAAGATATTGTAAGAAGCTGTAATATCACAATACGCTACTACTGGTGTCATCGAATTGTCGCTCCAGAGCATCTTGTTTGACCAAAAAAGCGAAGCCAAAATCTCATGCAATAAGATTACAATAGCCTTAAATTTACTAATACCACCAAGTAAATAATCAGGTCGAAAACTTAACAAAATATGAGTACCATTTAACAAATAGTCGTTGTTAATTTTCAGCGCAAAGCCCGTGGCTCCGACCTGCTGGACAAGATCTGTGACTCCCTGGAACTGGTGGAGAGAGACTACTTCGGCCTGCTCTACACGCAGCGAGGGGATCCCAGGGTCTGGGTCGACCTCAATAGGAGACTGTCTAAGACTTTCAGAAGTAAGTCAGCATAAATATGTCTGGAGAGGACATTAATTAACTATTCATTCTCTTGATATCGGAATAACAAAGTAAAATATGGGGAAAAATGCGTATTTTTTTTTAAATTACAATTATAATAGACTAGGGACGCTTTTGTTCAGAAGTGGACAACTAATAATGAAAAGTACTATTTAAATCAGATATTCCATAATTTCCAGACGAGCCCTGGGACGTGCGGCTTGCTGTGAAGTTCTACCCTCCAGAGCCCAGTGAGCTGAAGGACGACGCCACCAGGTACCAGATAGCGCTGGCTGTCAGAAGAGACCTCATGGAAGGTGAGACACAACTTCAAACATTATAGATTTTACACCTGCCTACTAAAACTACCCAATACGTACAATAAGAATACCTCACCCGTTCCTGTAGACAGGGACTCCATTATGACAGAATGCTCCATATACGTAAATACTCCCCTAAAATTTGCAGGTCGCCTAACATGCTCCCAGATCACCTACGCGCTGTTGTCGTCGTACGTGCTGCAGGCGGAGCTGGGCGACTACGAGGATTGCCACGACATCACCACCGCGCTGCACCAGCACAGCGCCGTGCCTGTCAATGCCATCACACCCGAGCTGGAGGCTAACATTGATGAACTGTATCGGAAACATAGGTGAGAGGTTGTTTTACTGAAGAAATCTTTTTCAGTAATATAACCTACTCCTATCCGTAATGACTACAATAATGAGACTCAATTAACCGGGCCCTTCCCCAACCTCCCCAATCTCTGAATCTCCAACAATCCTCAATCCTCAAATTCCTAATCCCCAAAACGCCGGTAACGCACTTGTAACGCCTCTGGTGTTTCAGGTGTCCATGAGCGACGCCGATTGCTTACCATCAGGTGAACCGTCTGATCGTTTACCAGCTTATACCATTAAAAAAAATGTACACAACACCAGAGGCCTTTGTCGTTCAAGTGTTGCTAAACCCAAATACTCTAATGGCATGTTCTACCATCGCTGGTTAGTTGAAAAAATTTAGTCTATCAGACCATATGCAAGCTAATTATTGGCATAATTTTACGTATCTTCTATATGGAATGTATCAAAACACTTTGTGTCATTCTGCTTCAGCTGTGTTAGTTTAAGTTAAACGGCTTTGTTTCCAATTAAGTAATCTGAGACCCAATCCTAAACTAAGTTTTTATTTAAAATACTTTTTTCATTTTCTCAGAGGACAAACCCCGGCAGAAGCAGAGCTGAATTACCTGGAGACTGCGAAGCGGTTAACGTTGTACGGCGCGGAGCTGCACACTGCGCTCGACTGCCAGGACGTCGCCATCGCACTCGCTGTCTGTCATAGTGGAGTCGCTGTCTATAGGGACGGGTGAGACCTTATCATTGTGATAGAATATTTGGACATGCACCAAACACATAAAGAAAATCTGACTGGGTTTAAAAAGACAGAATAGAAATTGGTGCAAATCAACTTAGAGACGAAAATAGAAACTTTCGCGGAGAACCTAACGGTCGCGGAGAACCTAACGGGTTACCAGGGCTCCGGCTCGACGTGCAGGAAAAGGAACGGGGTGGTTTTTAGTCAGTAAGAGTCTGACACTCCCTCCCGCCTCACCCAGGCGGGAGCAGTCATTCGATGATTTTCCCCCCTTAAAAAAACTGTTTTAAAAGTTCATGTAAGTAACTCGGTATCAACTTAATTAATAAGCAAATGCCCGCCTACCTACTACCTAATTAATGACCAATCTTGACGATTGATCGATACCTGAATGAAATAAAAGGATATTTATCTTATGGACAACTTATGCCGAAAACTTAAGTTCTATTAGAGTTTCTTGCTCGTTCTTCTCCATAGGAATCTACACGTTGGAATGAACAACTAACTTCACTTCTAAATTTTAGTTATTGACGTTCAAAAGTGCCTTCCTGGTCTAATTGAAATAAATGATTTTGACTTTGACTTTGACTATTTACAACATCTCCAGCCTCCCAATGAACCGGTTTCCCTGGGCTAAGATAACAAAGATCTGCTACAACAAGCGACTGTTCACGCTGCGGCTGCGAGCTGGTGAGTTCGAGGAGTTCGAGACCATCCTCAGCTTCAAGCTCGCCTCCACCTCTGCCTGCAAGAAGCTGTGGCGCTGCAGCGTGGAGCATCATATGTTCTTCAGGTAATCACATTTCACAAATACGTCTATTGTGGTCTCACCAAAACTTTAGTGAAAACGTTTCCATGACTTTTACTTTTTAAAGTAAGTATGTACCTATTCAGCAGCTGTAGCCAAATGACATTTAGCGCATGTAGAGGTAGAATAGTAAACCAAATTATATGGAATTGACGTTAATTTTGACACTTGTCAGTGTCATCCCCATACATTTAGTTTTCTACTCTCTCTGTGGACAAGCGCTAAAGTGGCGTTTAGCTAAAGGCACTGTTATTTACGAAAAACACGAAAGTCACGAAATAAGCGCTCCAATTCAGTCATTACTTTTAATATTCTTTTTTATTATTTCGTTCATACTCACACGAATCGAATTGAGAGTTCAATAACCGACCATGGTTGAACGGAGCACTAATTCTGACTATACTATGAAATAAGTTAACATTTACTCTTTGACTGAAGAAACATCCAATTTATTAATTTCCAGACGAGAATACCCGGTAGTAGTGGAACGTATACCAGGGTTTGCCCGCCTGGGATCCCGACGTCTCTCCTGCAGACGCACGCTACGTCAGATGAGAGCTGAATCCGACAACACGCCCACCGCAGCCTGACACCACACGCCTCGTGCCATTGGAACAACACCGAGCACTGTTTGATGAACTCACATCAAGACTTCATCTCCCGAGAGGGTAGGCAGGACACTTATTGCCATTTTTATCAACCATCTCCTAACTAAAAGTTACGTGTTAGCCTTATGTAGCCCAAAAAGTAAACCCGTGTACTGTTAGGTGTCGCTTGTAGGTTGGTGAAAACGAATATCGTTAAACTAGCTGAGCCCGTGACTTCATCCGCGAGGAATAGTGATTCACAGCTCCTCCCCCGTAGTTGATAGCATGATAATATGCAGCCTATATGTTGACCCGACCTGTTGGTAATATTCATGCAAAATTTGAAATAAATCTATGCAGCACTTTTTGAGTTCATCCCGGACATGCATACAGACAAACAGACAAAAATTCTAAAACCAACACCAAAGGCCGGCTGTTGTGAACCAACCAATCAGCGTGCCATACGCACTCGATATTATTACGTTATGAATGCGATATTCGGGTATTTCGGGTTAGATTCCCGGGTCGGGCAAAGTACCTATTACTGGGTTTTAAAAAAAATCTCAGTAGTAGCACGGAGTCTGGAATTGTGTCCGGTATATGGCAATAGGCTCACCCCCTATTACATGGGACTTATAACATAAATAGTCAAAGTCAAAGTCAAAGTCAAAGCATTTATTTCAATTAAACCATAGTTTGGTACTTTTGAAACGTCAACAAATACAAAATAAATAATAGTCTGTCAGTCAGTCCGTCAGTGAAGCTAGGTGAAGCTAGGTGCTCATTCCAAAACGTAGATTCGAATGGAGAAGAACGAGCAAGAAACTCCATTCGTTACTCTTTTAAAAAAAAAGTGAAAAGTGGGTGTTACATTGTACAGTGGCATTAAGTGCCGAAATGTGCACCTCTGCGTACTCCTTCGGGGATAAAAAGGCGTGATGTTATGTTATGTATGAATGCGATAGTTATTCGTACTTGGCCCTATGGAGTCTAGGTTAGACTATGCTGTGGTTAAAATTTGTAAATCGAAAATCCTTATAGTGTATGTTTAGACAATCGAATTGAGGCCTTATTGCTTCAGGGCAATGTTTTATGAAAATTAATGAATGTATTATTATAATTAATATTATGTATTTAGGGTTGATTTTTCAATGCTCTGTTAAATAACCGAGGAATAACATTGAATAATTGACAATTCTTCCATACTATAAACTGTCAAATGTCAATTTAATTCTACAGTTAAGGATTAACTGAGTATTGAAAAATCTGTTCTTAGTGTACTATTAATTATTGTATGTACCTAGATTACTGAAAAATAAACTGTAAGTAAATGTTGTTGTTAAGTATTAATGTACCTAATAAATGTGACAATAATAGATACGTTTTGTAACATATTTATTAAATTTTTTATACCTCCGATGTATTTTTGTGAAATTAATAAACCTTAAACGAATGAGGAAGAGTTTGAAATTATTTGATAAAATGTTAGATAGATGATTGATTAATTGCCCCTTACTGTAATTTTCTCCTGTGTCGTGGGTGCGTTTACAAACATACAAGTTCACATATACATATGACACCCAGACTTGGAACAACAATTTGTGGATCACACAGAAGTTGCTCCGTGCGGGAATCGAACCCGCTGCACGTTGCGCGGCAGCCGGTTGCCACAGCACCAACCCAGCAGTCAAAGTCAAAACAATATGTAAATGCTAACTACACATGATTTTAATGAAACATTTGTACATAGATACTTCCTAGGACTATCAACAGTACTGTGGTATCGTCCGCTAATTAGACTCGCCCACTTATTTCCCATGTCTGCACACATGAATCAATCACAACCACAAAAAGTGTGTGAAAATTCACATATCTATAACAATGATAATAGGGATAATGATAATGAAAATTTACATCATCAGAGACCCGACAGCGACATTCTCTGAAAAACCTGAATCTGTAATCTTCAGGGTATCTGCCACAAGAAGAAATTATGACCAGCCTTCGTTTGGAGAATAGGCCTGTATACAGCGGGCTGTTAATACTAACATTTTATGAATAACAAACAAAAGGTACACCTGCATTTTTGCTCGCAACTCGTCTGACAGTTATATGCCTCTCAAATTATTATTCATTGGCTAGAATCGCATCAAAATTCGTTTAGTAGTTTTCGATTTAATAGCGAACAGTCAAATAACGTCTGGCTCCGTATTTCCTAAACAAGTATAAAGATATCTGCAATAATATTTAATGATTCAAAACTTTAATTAAATAGGGAAATACCTAACGTACTTATGACAAAATAAATATATAACTACATAATATGTATGTATGTACGTGATGGCTCAGTGGTTAAGTAAACATCTTTAACGTTGCGGATCGTAAGTTCTATTCCGGCCTAGAATAAATATTTGTACAGTCAACGGTTCGCAGTCTTAAAGACCGTTATATCTAATAACATCACGTCCCAAAAACGAGAGTGGATAAGCAGAATTTATCTAATATTTAACGTATTATTTATTATTTTATGTATTGTTCCAGACCATAATCTACCCTGTTCCAAATTTCACCCATATTCCTTCAGCCGTTTTGACGTTTGAGTAACAAACATACACACCAACTTCCGCATAGAGATATAATATATAGTAAAATAATAATAATATAATTTCAACCGACTTCCCATAACGGAGGAGGTTCACTATTCGTTTTTATGTTTTTTACTGATTCCAAATCTACTTCGGTCTACCCAAAGATACGTCATAACGAAAAGTACATTATTTTTGGGCCGATTTTTCCAACGGCGATAACTGTGGGAGAGCCATGCTTCGGCATGAATGGGCCGGCTCGACCGGAGTGATACCACGGCCGAACAGAAAACCGACGTGAAGCAACGCTTGCGTTGTGTTTCGTCGTGTGAGTGAGGTTACTGGAGGCCCAATTACGGGGGGTAATTAACCAGTAAAAGACCCCCTCCCCGGTTTCCCCAATCCCCGAATCCTCTACAATCCTTAAATCCCCAAAAGGCCGGTAACGCACTTGTAACGCCTCCGATGTTTCAGGTGGGCATGGGCGACGCCGATTGCTTACCACCAGGTGATCTGTCTGCTCGTATACCGGCTTATGCCATAAAAAATGCCAGATAAATTTCAACTAAGGAATTTTTTTTTGTTTTTATTTTTTTTTTTTTTAAGGGGGGAAAATCATCGAATGACTGCCCCCGCCTGGGTGAGGCGGGAGGGAGTGTCAGACTCTTACTGACTAAAAACCACCCCGTTCCATCTCCTGCACGTCGAGCCGGAGCCCCGGTTACCCGTTAGGTTCTCCGCGACTCCGAATCGGCATCGGCCCTAGTAGTGTATAATTGGGGTTTCTGGATCAAAAGAGATCCATCCACCCCAATTATACATTAATTTAAATGAGACATCTATTCAAATAATGTAATTCATTTATTCAAATACCACTTTTAATCTGATATGCATTTAAATAATATAATTTTATTTATTCAAATACCACTACTAATTACAATTTGATACTTCAAAAACTATTATTCCATTTATTTGAACACTGTTACATCATTTCAAGTACATCATCTATTTACACAAATATACCTATTGATACTTCAAAAACTAGTACATAAACCATCTTATTCGAATACTGTTACATAATTTCAAATAAACTATCTATTCAAATCAACTAGAAACCAAAACAAAACAACCTTTATAAATCAATTTTTATTTTAATCACTGTATACAGTAATTAAAAAATATTTTCCATATTTTCTTGTATTTTGAATATGAGGTCCTTAGTCGACTGATATATGACATCCATATTATTTTTCACGACGTGTTGCACGCACAAATCAGCCTTGCATTTACATATATTCTGTTGACGGTCTTCAAAACTTTTTGCATCGTATATTTCGATACGGATAACTTTTGAACCCTTGACAGGTCGCTTCACATAACTATATAGCGTTTCATCATTGCTTCTCTTTCGATTTCCACCATCGCTAACGTCTTTTTGCATTTGCAGATTTTCCATAGGGATGAAATTGCCTTCCATGTCCGGTGAGGACCTGCGTCAGGCGGTAGGTGAGGACGCCGTAGCGTCTCTCAAGCCACTCCTCAAAGAGGGGACTTACCGCTGCGATGGCAGCGAGCCCAGCCCTCGGTTGCGACAGTCGTTGCTGCCATTCCGCCATGAGATCGCGCCGGAGCTCATCCCGCCACGCACCTATCTGGCGCGGCAGCGGGGTTTCGCCCCGGCGACGTGCCTCCGCGCGCATGTTGTACACGCGCGCGAGCACCTTCGCCTCCAGATCCCACGGCGGTAATCCGGCAAGGAGGTTCGCCGACTCCCCAGAGATCGTGCGGTATCCGCGGATCATTCGGATCGCCATGACCCTCAAGGAATAACTTTGAATATTTGATAATATCAAATGTGAATTTTATTCTACAGTTAAGAATTAACTAATGATTGAAAAGTCATAGAAGTGCCATTACACGACAATTTATACCTACTTAAATAATTAAAGACGGGCCAAATTAGGTAAAAGTACCCTCAACTGACTGAGCATGTATGAAAAGGTTGATGAAGCGAAAGAGATATGTAGGAATCGTAGCAATTGGCTTAACTAAAAATCGCGGGTTACTCACGTGAATATACAGAGAAAGCTCTACCAGTGAGCTGCGCGACGTCGCCGCGACCGCGCACGCTGCTCATAAGGAAGAACCCTTTGTAGTTCGAAACTAGTAGAGCTTTTCTCAGTGAGTAATCCGCGATTTTTAGTTGATTTAGTATGTCTCACGATAGTTATTATAAAAACGTAGCAATGGCGTTTCGTAGTCTATGCCTACCCCCATGGGAAACAGGCGTATCTATGGTAAAAAGATAATTACGTCACACAATGTAAATAGTACATGTACATTATGATGTCTATGTAAACAATGGCGTGAGACAAGATGCTCCAAATTAACAGCAACTGACAAAATTGTTTTATTGATATTCAATTTTATTCTTAAGTGCTAAGGTTCAAAATTGCTTTAAAATGAACAACTTATGTTAATTAACATTTTAAACTTTAATTACTCAGTTGGTTTATACGTCGGCGTCAATATATTTTTATATAATTTAATTATAATGATAATACAGAAACTGTTTTTTAAATGTTTTTCGTTAAATTATTACCTATACTGCTAACTGCTAAGCGTGCATCTAGCAAAAAAAAACACTTCATATTTCATATTAACTCGTCGAGTACCGTCATTATAGACACAATTATAGAACAATAGGTTGCGGTCACCGCTTGGTGTTTGACAG